CGCGCGTTCTCCACATCGGCGATCTGTTTACGTAGCGTAGGACGCTTCTTTGATTCGGCGTGATCGATAGCGTTGCTAGTCGTCGAAACGACTCGACGATAATAAGTCATCTCCGCGCGGCTCGTCGCGAGGTTGCAACGTGAGGCTCGGCGCGAGTATTGTATTCAACTCGCGATTCTATCCAGCGGGAAAAGACCGGCAATCGGCCGTACTTTACGTCCGCGGATGCGCATTGAGATGAGCGCGTGGGTGGACAGGAAAGACGCAGGTAGATTCGCGGAAGAATTCCCGATCGGCGCGAGAAGTCTTCGGTAAAGCTTATTCTACAATGGACAACGTAAAACGCAAGACGCTAAGCCGCAAGAAATCGACCAATCTCAGTCAAGTATGAGAAGAATTAGCGACTGTCATTGGCCGATTTCCTGCGGCTTAGCGTCTTGCGTTTTGCGTTCATTGTAGAATAAGCTTAAGGGGATCCTAAATCCGTCTGTTTTATCGACATTCTTTGTTAAAAGTAATCTTTTAATTGGCTTCATACAAATGCAAAACTCTTTTACGGAATCAAAGTACGCAGCAAAATCTAGACTATGTTGGTCGACTTTATATCAAAAACAAAAAAAATAAAAAATTTTACTAATTTTTGGTACACTTGACGACAATATTTGCTTGATACAAGAATTCTACAATAAATATACGTAAAATGAGACCAGCATACTCTAGGGACAATATATAAGAACAATATCGTGCAATTAGAACTAAGATTAAGAGCCTAGAAAAAAAGATTACTTCTAGTAAACGCAAGTTCAGAAATCCAAGTCTAGAAGAAGTGAAAAAGAGCAGCAGGCTTTTTCGAGAGAGGACGATGCCAAACATCTGTCAGATTGTCAGTAAAGCCATGGTGTTGACGGTGCTCGAATAATTCGATCCAAAATCTCGGTCTGAGCAATGCATAGCTAACAAAATTGCTGCTTTTTCGTAAAAGTTGCAAATTGATTGGCTAGAAATTTCTCGGACCGAGTAGAACTTGGAATTAAAAATGTCGATAATTGACGTTTTTAATTCCGTCTCCTATCGACACTGATCGAGTTCGCCAGCTTTAGGATCCCCTTAACATCCCCGGCCTCTCTTCGGCGTCGCGCCCGTTCGTGCGTTCGCGGAATCGAAGACTCGCGCACGTCGCGTCGCGGCGAATCTTTTCGGTCGCGTGTGGGTGACCCGGAGCAGATCCCGTTTCGCAAGACGCCGCGGTTGCAACGTGACGCGTCGCCCCCGCAATTTTCTCCGATGCGGAGGAACCACCGGGGTCTACGGGGAACATTATAG